TGGGATTCCAGGCACGCACCACATGCCCAGGAAGAACTCCAGATCTTAAAGCACAACTTTGAAATGTTTCATAAATTTAAAATCTGAAGGGCATTTATTGTGAGGAGTGAGGACTTTACTCATCTCTTTCTGGCTGTCTGCAGATGTCAGCCCACAGAAACAGTTTTTATTTGTACCATTTGCTGTCCACAGCTTGGTGTCAGAAGGGCAGATACCTCCATTCAATGAGAAACTAAGAAGGTTGGAAGTTTTGCTGCTGCCAAGAAATAGTGTTACTTGATTGCATCCGAGTGAAAAGCCCTTATTTAGCATTTAGTATTTAAGATTGCTGAGTCCTCTAGAAGTCTAGTGTGGGTTCAGTAGAATTAGATTTTTTTATTTGAGTGTTTTATAGCCTGTCCTCGTTGCCTGCTGAGTGTCTGGACTAGCTCCCTAGTGAGTAAGGTCTGGCACTCAGGGTCTAATAAGTATCAGAGACAGTGAAGAAATGCCACCTCCGCCCAAGCAAAGTACTGAGCTTGATTTTGAAAAATCTGACTTTGAGCTATATCCTGGCAAAAATAAAGATGTGAGCCACTGGTAGAGTAGATGCCTGTACAGCATGCATGTGTACTCCAAAGTTCTCTGGGAAACTGCCTCTGTCTGGGAGGACATAACCCCTGCGCAGTGCTTTCTGCTTTGCTTGTGGGCCAGCAGATTCCTCACAAAGCTTCGCCCATCTAAACTATCGTCTCAAAGGAAGTCTTTGGCTCTTAGAGCAGCGAAGGTTCCCAGCACCCTTTGCTGCTGAGTTTCTTACGAAAGCTGTACATATATGGCTGTCAAAATTTTTAGGGTCATTATGATGGGTGTCTGGCACATGCTTAGCTCAGAAAACAGTTGAATAATTTAAGATTTACTTGCCCCCCCCCCCCAAAAAAAAATCAGGATTATGAAAGCCATGTTTCACTTATATAAAACCAGCATGTACTTTCTTTTTGTCTGCCAATTAGTAATTTGACAGTTTCTTTAGTAAAGGAAATACTGCTCTTGAAAGTCAACCTGCAGGATCATCTTGAAGTCCGAGCTGATGCTGTATGAGCATAGATTCCTGCAGCTTTTCTCCTCGTTTAAGTTCAAGGAAAGTTATTTTAGAACTTGTATTAAATATTTTGTACTAGTGAAATGCAGGTTTAGAAATGACACCCAAAATTTAAAACATGGTTCTATTTTCAAACTGGACAGTGAATGTTTTTGAGTGAGTGGCTTTATGATGCTGAAGGTACTTCATTTTTGCAAGTCAGGTACTGTGTTAAGTGACAGTTATCCTCATAAATTAAAAAAAATGTAAGGTTGAACCAGTACCAAAGAGCAAATGTTTCTAAACTGCTTGGGCAACGTGAGTTTTAGAATTCCTGTTAGGAATGTGCTGTTGAGGAATGTTAAGTAGTAAAATCTTGTGTTACAAGATTTTTTTGCATTTACATGAACTTTCACTCATTTTTCAGAATCTGTTCCTAGAGACAGAGAACCCAATACAAAAATGAGAACATGTATGCATAATCAGGAGGATGCAGTGCAAATGCCTAGTGAAACTCTGAAAGCAAAAGTGGTACCTGAGAAAATTCCCCGCAGATGTGCTACTGTTGCTGCAAATAAAATAAAGATAATGAGTAACCTAAAACAGATGATTTCAGCACCAGAAAATGTCTGGATTAGGAAGAGTAGCAGAAAACTGCCCCATCGAAATGCTTCTGCTGCGGCTAAGAAAAAATTACTGAATGTTTGTAAAGAGGATGATACAACCATAAATTCTGAAAGTGAAAAAGAGCTAGAAGATGTTAGTAGCAAAATACTTTTTCTAAGGCGGTTCAGACCCTGGAAGGAAAAAGCGCAATAGCGACTGAGAATATAGAAGTGGTGTCTGGAAGCAAGCAAGGGCCTCAAGTAGAGCGGCAGCTGCTTCTGCTCCTCACCCTCAAATGAATTCCTTGTTGCCTCCCGTGAGGAACTTTCTAAAAGCCATACTCCAGCGGTCAAGGCTTCTCTCCCAGAGCCTGTGTGCACACACAAGCAGTATAGGAGGTAGGCTGTGAGCCTGTAAGGCCAAGGAGGTAGGCTGTGGAGCCTATAGTGAGGTGGGAAGACAAGTCAGGGCCTGTTGTAAGATTGCTATTTGTTCCAGAAAGCAAAAACCTGGAAGAAATTTCTTGATTTGTTAGAGGAAGAAAATGGGAAGTGGACAGGATACACAAGAAAAACTTTAAAAACTTAGAAAATTTCAAAAGTTTAACCTGATGCTAATTTAAGAGTTCTCCATTAGAACATAAAAATTCAGGCCACCATGACTATTATGGCAATGCAGAGATGGGAGGGAGAAAATGGAGCACATTTCCCCAGGAAGTGCCAAGGAGTCCATATGACTTTGGGGTGGAAAAAAACCTTTTGTCCCTGTAATTCAGCTCCCAAAAGATCAAACCAAAAGGACCAAGAGAGCTGATGCTGGAGGTGTGAATTCTGACCTACAGTGTTGGAAATAGGCAGTTGGAGAAAATCCTTTAATGTCTTATTTTATTTATAACATTGGAATTTATACTGAATGATCACTTAGATGACTAAATCAGGGATTATATATTTTTCTATGAAAGCTATGAATGTGACTATCATTCCGTGTAGCAGCAAAACTTAAGAAGCAGGCTTAGTTTTAATTAGAAAATAAAATGAAAAGTATAGTTTAAGATCAAATTGGTCCTATTTTTAGATGACATAAAATTCTTTTATGTTTATAGCACCTTAAAAGTTAGAATTTAAACACTGAGCAAATTTATTAAATCTTGTAAAACTTTAATAACAGCATGTCTGGTCTATTTTATTGTGGCCTTTGCTAGGATTAGAAATTTTGATCATTGTACTACAGAGAATTTATTTGCAATAGGGTTTGATTTGTTAATAGGTATTTGTTGACATTAAGATCACCAGATTAAGTGAATGTACTGCCAGTACTTTTTAACATAGTATGATGCTATTGGAAAAATAAATTGTTAAAGATCTGTGACTATTAATACGATTTGCATGTGTAAATATGAAAAAGCAAAACGTAGAAACTTAGAGGTTCCTATTTCTTTTTCATAAAGACTAATGCATATTTTTTCATTATACAGATGGGCCAAGTGTCTAGATTACTTGAAATATTTGTGGCTGCATGCTTGTTTACAAAAAGTTTTTTAAAAAGTGTAAGCCAGAATATTCTAAACCAGAATGTGTGTACATTTCTTTTTTGGAGTGTACTTTGAAATACTGATCAAGTTAATCGCTCCATTAACTTGCTAGAACAGGTAAGAAAGGAAGAAATCCTAATAAAGTGCTGTTAATTACAGATGCATGGGGTTTGATTTTGGAGTTTTAATGAAATGCATACATTAATTACCAGTCTACAATTTTCATTTCAGAAATTCTTACTGGGTATATTATATTCTCAAGAAATATAATGAAATAAAAAAGTCTTAAGTGAAATGCAAAATTTCATGCAAAGTTTTCAGTTTGTGATGAATTTGAACTTCCAGTTTGTAATTTACTGCACTAGGGTTAATTTCTGTTAGTATCTGAGATTGTATGGAAAGCCTTTCATGATGGAATCCCTAGTCTGGCTTTGTATTTAATTTGAACATAATCTTGTCTTTTCACTTTTAAAGTGCTTGGCCTAATTTTTTTCTAATTGCATGAAATAAGCATTTGTTTAAAATTACAGTTTTACAAAATTTTTCTCTGAACTATATGGAGAATTTAAATTATAGCCAAATGTATTACTACTGTATAATAATAGTAGTTAATTTCCAGAAAAGGTTTCTTTATAATGTAATTGAAAAATCAAATTTAACATTTTACTGGTAAGATGACAAATTAATCAACAAAAGGACTAAAATCGGTGTCCAGATAACTCCTTACTCTGCAACTCATTCTATTAGACCAATTAACCAGGAGTCCTCGTCTTTTACAAATATCATACTGGTAGTGTCGTATATTCTTTCTCACTAGGGAATACCCAGTTTCCTAAGCTTTTACTTGCTAGCAGCTTGGTTTTAATGTGTTTATTCCTAAATATTCATTTTATAAAACGTGTAAAATTACTAAACACTGATTGTGTATAAATAACTTTGGTACCTTTCCACATTTTAGGACATTTTCAGTTTTATTTTAGGACATTTTTTTAATTTTATTTTTAATCTCAGGGTTCCCTTCAAACACCAAAGTAGTACTTACATTTATGACTACTGAAAAAGACTCTTAATATGCCTGCCATGCCATTACTGTAGGATACGGTTTTTTTCATTGCAGTAGTAGTTTCACTTTCAGCTAAATTAGTCCCCTTTGTCTTGAGCTTCTAACAGTGCTCTATGAACTGTCTTCCACGACATGACAAAAAAGAACCAATTCAAAATTCCGATCATATACTTTACTTATTAATGAAAAGCTGTTTAAAGGAAAACCAATTTGTACTAGTTATAAATGGCCAGTTTTTAAAAATCTATTTTTGCATTCCCATGAAAATGTTTAGGTCAGCTGGACTATCACCAGGTTTTAAAATGTGAGTTCCTGTACCGAGTAAAGGTGTTTTTTACACCACCATGAAGCAATGTATTTCTTCCTGCCCGTCCACCCGCGCCGACTGAGGCAGTGCCTGCGACGGCCAGGTGTGGAACAGGTGGTTAGCACAGCAAAGCTCAGCCCAGTCACCCCAAACGAAGGACCAAGGAGTCCTTCAGGACGCGCTTTTCCCGGAGAGCGGTTCAGACTAGAGCGGGCGTCAGCCACGCCCCCTTCGGGCCAGCCCCCTGGGACGTCCCACGCTCCGACTCGCTTCCTGCCCCTCTAGCCCGCGGTCCTCCAGTTTCTGTGTCTCCTCGCGGATCAGGCTGCGGAAGGGAAACCAAGCGGGGCAGGCACGAGGCGGAGGCGTGGCCTCGCTCGGGGTGGGGCCCTGGGCGGTGCAGGGGAAGAGCAAGGGCTGTCGGGGCGTGGCTGTGCGTAGCTGCGCAGGCGCTATTTGGCGGCCCGCAGTTGGGCCCCACGGGTCCTGCTGGTGGCCATGGCTGCTACGTTCTTCGGAGAGGTGGTGAAAGCGCCTTGCCGGGCGGGCGCAGAAGATGACGAAGAGGAGGAGGAAGAAAGGAGGAGGGAGACACCCGAGGATCGGGAGTTGCGGCGGCAGCTGGCGCGGAAGAGGTGAGTGTGGTGCGTTGGGCCGTGTGCCGTGAGGCGGGCGGGCCCACGCGTTCTTTGCGAACCAGCCTCTCCCGGCAGTCTGGCGACCTAGAGCTTCAGGGCCGCGGTCTGCACGGTGAACTCTCTGGACACTAACTTGCAATGCTCCTGCCTCAGCCTCCCACAGTGCTGGGATTACATCCTCGACGATTCCCTTAAAAACGCTTTTTATCCTACCCCCATCTGTCAGGTAGCATCGTGTCAGTTGTAGAAGGATGCTCTGACCTTAGCATTTCGAAACGTACACAAGTGGTAGAATAGCGACGTGACCTGTGACTTCTACACGGTCGTGTGAATTCAGGCATGAAGATTTTCTCTTTGTCATCACTGCCGTTCACCTCGGTATTTCTTGCATCTCGAAAGGTTTAGGCATTTCCGTACTTGGGCTATTAGCAGTGATTTTCCAGTAACATTTGTGTCCACTGGGTTCAGTTCTCTAGCTTTCTCAAACTTGAAATTTTACAGTAATTTGTGTAAATCAGAGTTGGAGCAAGACCCATACCTTACACATTGAGGGCTTCTTTCATGGAAAGCAGTTCACAGTGCTCCCTCGTGTGTGTGTATGTATTAGTTATAGGGATTAAATCCAACACCTTAGTGCTGGGCTGCATCCTTAACACGTAAAGGGTTTTCGTGTTTTTTTTTTTTTTTTTTTTTTTTTTTTTTTTTTTTTTTTGAGATATCGTCTCAAATTCCTTGCCATCCCCAGCTTCAGCCTCCCACTGTGTGGGATTATACCTGGGCTCCTCCTTTCCTCCCAAGGGCTCTGGATTTGTCTAATTGTGCCCTTCTGGAGTCATTTAACAGCAACTGTGTATCACCTGCGTTTACCTCCCTGTGAGTTTGTGCTGAAGGCCTGCAGATTCAATGTTGTGTGGGCAGGAAAGCTTGGAAGTGGTGCTTTCAGTTCCTGATTGTTCACAAGCCAGCTGCCTTTTTTTCGGGATACAAACATTGACCCACTCATGACAGCATTGACCCATGCTGTCAGGTGGGCAGCATGAAGTTTATAGGCAGCAGTGCTAGCTGTCGGTTATCATTACCCTAATCTCATTTCTTTAGGATTGTAGTTAAAGGCTTTATAAAATTAATCACATGTTTTCCCTGCTAGTAAAGGCACCAGCATTACACAGATAGATGGTGCCCTTTCCTCATAATGTACTAATTGTATTGAAGTTGCTTCAAGTTCATCTTGTTTCTCGTGTTAGGGAGGTGCGACTTCTTCGAAGACAAACAGAAACATCTCTGGAAGTTTCTCTGTTGGAAAAGTATCCTTGCTCCCAGTTTATAATTGGAATAGGAAATAATGCAGTAGGTAAGTGAAAATGTGGAGGGTGAGACATTTGTTGAAAGAACAAAATCATGAAGTTACTTGTTTCTTTTCATCACATAAAATCTCAAATGTTGGTTAAAGACCCGGAAGACTATCTTTATGAGTAATGTACCGCTTGTTTATTTGTACCATCTTTTTATGCATTTTGTACAGTGTCTCACTACACAGCTCTGACTTGTAGTGATCCTCCTGTTTTCAGGCTCCGCAGTGCTGGGACTACAGGCGAGCACCACCATGCCCAAACTTGGTGGGGGGCTTTGAGGGCAGGGGGGTGTGGTTGGCATGGCATGTGGTGCCAGGGATTGAACTCAGGTCCCTGTGCTTGCCTAAGCAGGTGCTTAGTCTGCTGAACTATCTCACTGGTCTCCATCTTTTTAATAGATCTAAAAAGTAAGATTTTAAAGAAAATATTTTTGGCTTCAGGAACTTGCTACTCAAGGGACTGTTTCTAGTGTGGTGAATGTATTTAGGTTTGAATGTGAAAGTTAACAGATTCCTTTGAGAACATAATGAGAATTCTGAAAATAATCACTGGTATTTTTGAGCACTGAAGTTCATTGCCTCGAGTGATTCCCTTAGTGAATTGCTGTTCACCTGGTAGAACAGTGTAGGCTTTAGCTAGAGAAATGTCTACTTGCTTTATAAATTTAGGGTGCTCAGGAGAGCATTTGGGAGCCCTAGTTGTAAGATACCACTTGTTCCCACAGGATTTAGGAAATCCCTGTAATTAGCTGTTGCCTCATTCATGTAGAGTTCTCTGGGCCTTTTCAGAAGACTGTTGTCAGGCTGTGAGAGTGTGGTGAAGCCTCTCCGCAAGACCTTAGTTACCTTTCCTGCAGAATGGTAGTAGTTGATGACGTTGAATGGCTGTTTCAGCCCTGGACTACTTGGCTAACTTGAGCTTGCATTTTATTGAACAGAAAATATAATTTGTGGAGCCACTTGCTAAGCTACATAAATTATTTTTTTCCACAGCATTTTTGTCATCCTTTGTTATGAATTCAGGCATCTGGGAGGAAGTTGGTTGTGCTAAACTCTGGAATGAGTGGTGTAGAACAACGGATGCTCTACACATTTCCCCCACAGAGGCTTACTGTGTGTTTTATCATCTCAAATCAAACCCTTCGGTACGTGTGACTTGACCTCTCTGTCTCAAGGTTGTTATCCCAGTGTCACTGGTAGCGTGTTTGCTGATGGTGTACCTCAGGCTCTCAGGTGCCAGGTCTCAGTTGCTTTCTCAGCAGCTGTGTGAAATGCCACAACTCAGAAATTTTAAAACTGCTAACAGAGTCAGGGAAGTAGGAGTGAAGGTTTGTGTTAGCCAGCTTTTTGCCCTGGTAAGAAGCCCTTGAAGCAACCAGCTTATAGAGAGACAAGGTTCACCTTGGCTCATGGTCTCAAGACCCCTGATACGGTGGACCACTGTGGGGTGTGGTGGGGCAGCACAGTACATAGCAGAGCCATTTGCCGCTTGGCCTGGAAGAGAGGAGAGAGACTGGGGTCCCACCATCCCCTCCCAGGATGTACCTTGAGCAAACCTAAGGCCTTCCATTGAATGGCTTCATCTCCTACTGTTTCCACCAGGCTGGGAGGGAGTTTAGGGATGGCATGAGCTCTGGAACTGTCTGTAGCAGTATACCTTAGGGGTCACGTGATAGGAGGCAATGGAAGATTGGCAGTGTGTAAAATTTGGGCCAAAGTCTTGACATTTGCCTTTGTAGGTTTTCCTCTGTCAGTGCAGTTGTTACGTTGCTGAAGATCAGCAGTATCAATGGCTGGAAAAGGTAAGAGAGATGAAGACCTGGAATTGGGTAGATGGTAGGAGTTGCCAGTTTCAGAGGGCTCCGTTTGCAGGCAGATACTCTGGGACAACTGAAAACACTGAGGTTCTGTGTCATCCAGGCAGAGTAGCTGTCATCCAGAATACCAAAACAAAACAAAACAAAACAACAAACCAAGAACTAGGGAATGCTGGTGAGGGTGCAGGTCAGGAAAAGACCCTGTCTATACCACAGGGAGAATGTGGACACATGTGGGCCGTTTCCTCAGAGTTAAACTGGGTCCATGTGTATTCTACTGGACACTCTTGTATATGTGCCTGGAGGAGTAGAGTCACTGGCTTCTGCCCATTAATCATGGCCTGTGCAGATGCCACATTCTGAGGTCAGCCAAGTGCTATGAGTGGCTGAGGGGGCATGGCTGCATGCCAGCCAGGAGGATAGAGTACTGCCATTTTCAGGAAAGTGGATGGAGCCAGAGATTGGCATGTGACGCCAGACTTAAGACAAGTGGCACATGTTACGTTTTCTACATGGAATCAAGCATGGAGGAAGCAGTGTGGAAGGAGAAGGGAGACTGTTCATTAGATAAGAGAAGGCATGGGCATGAAGAAGCTCACAGCCACAGTTGGATATATGACTAGAAATGTCACACTGGAAATACATGTGTAATAAGTCCTAATAAAAATATGCAGGAAGGGAGTTTGGGGTGTTTTTTTAACATACTGTAGTAGTTTGCTGTAGAATATAGAAAATAAACTAGGGTTTTTTTTGTTTTTGTTTTTTTTTAAATATGACCCACCTAACAGATGCACTCTATGTTGTGTAAAGAGTTCTCTAGGTCATAGAAGTTAAAATGACAGATGTGGTGGTGCACACTTGTGATGCTTGCATTTAGGAGGCTGAGGCAGGAGGATCATTGCAATTTTAGGGCCGGCTTGGGCTACACATCAAGGCCATGTCTCAAAAAACCCAAAGGCAGGGAGAAAGAAACGTAATTGTTTTTTTTTTTTTTTTCATCCACCTTATTGAAAGCAAAGCAAAGTCATGTAAGGGAACACTGTCACAGCCAAGGGTGAAAACCAGCAGTGAGGATAAAGGACAGACTTGAAAAAGTGGTAGCTGGTGCTCTGGGAGTGGCTCTTGTCCCCCACTTCTGCTCCCTCCAGGCTCCGGGGTGTGGCATGTACTTTTTGTAGCATTAGGCAGATCATTCATCTGTGGGGAAATTGTACACATAATGTGTGCCCGTAAAACACATTTTTGAGTGAAGGATTGAACTCAAGAATTTGAGCGAGCCACTAATTTTGGCAGTTGTCTAACTTAAAATGGTTGGGACCAGAAGTGTTTGAGTTTTCAGCTTTGTTTGCATATTCACAATTACACTTTGGGGATGAGACCCAGGTGTACACCTAAACTCTAATGCTTTACACACCTTATATACATAGCCTCAGTGTTGTAGATAAAATATGTGTACAATACTTTTAATAGTTTTGTGCATGAAACAAGGTTCATGGTATGAAATTTTCCATTTGTATAATGTGGGTGCTCAGAAATATCCCTTTTTGGAACATTTTGAAGTTTGGATTTGAAATGCTCTCATGTGTTCTCTTATGCATTCTCTTTGTCTGTCTGTCTGTCTGTCTTTCTGTCTGTCCGTCGTCTATTTTTTTTTTCCCAAAACCCAAAAAACTCATTTTTTACCTTTTTTATCGGCAAGGGTGGGAGGATTATTTGGGATTGAACTTGAGATCTTGTGCATGCCAGGTGGGTGGTTATACTGCTGTACTATCTCCCTGGCCCAAAACTTTTATTTTTATAGTGCTGGGGACTGAACCTGGGACCTCTGACATGCTAGGCAAGTGCTCTGCCAGTGAGTTACATCTCAAACCCTTATTTTTATTTCACTTTTTGTGTGTGTGTATGTGTCATTTTGAGACAGGGTCTTGCTGTGCAGTTCAAGCTGGCCTTGAGCTCACTTTGTAGTCCAGGCTGGTCTCGAACTCACAAGGATCTTTCTGCCTCAGCTTCCTAAGTGCTGGGATTACAGGTGCATGCCACCAGGCACAGCCCTTATTTTTGTTTGTAATGGACACAGAGTTGTACATTTTTCCCCCTAAGGAGTGTTCTTAGGGTTCCTCTAATTTGGTCTCATCTTCAAAATAATTGATAATTACCCACAGTCTAACAGTTCTTGAGTACTGTAGTCTTTTAGGGAGGAAAATAAATTAGGCCTGTGGATAATGTTCTCTTTCTTAAATGGGATGGACCTGGTAACAAACTTGCATAGTGTTAACTTCTCTATTTACAAAGCCATCATCTAAAAAAAATTGTCATGTAAGTCATTATGACACTTAATATAAAATATTGTACTCTGTTATTATTGGAAATAGCCATCTTTATAAAATATTTTCAAACAGTTGCAGTAACCTAAAATTTTTTTCCTTAAAAAGATAGCTGTTTTCTCTGTTTTAATGACTAGATTTTATTAAAAGATGGAGTGATCCTTGGCTGTCAGGTGGACATTCTCTCAGTTGTAGAAGAGGACCCTGAGGGCCAGAGCAGGTGAAACCTGCCTATAGTCGCAGCTCAGAAGTGCATTTGGTCAAGACCCTCTTCCACACATCCCTGGTGGTGGGTGAGGGAGTGAGTGTCACTATACTTGTGACTGATTTCCTGTGGATGGTGGACCATGGTGAGGCTGATTGATGATTGCCTCTAATGACATGGTAAAACTGCCCTTTTCTTGGGAGACAGTCTTACTATGTAGTGCAGACTGATTTCAAATTTGGTATATATCCCAGGCTGACCTAACACCTGAGATTCAAGACCCTCCTGTCTCAGCCTCCTGAGTGCTGAGATTATAGGTGTGCAACAAGAACCATGTCTTGCTTTTTTTTTTTTTTTTTTTGGTTTGTTTGATTTGAAATCAATTTTGTTAGGTTTTCGGCACCTGTCCAAAGAAGAACATGCAGGTAACTGTTCTCACATGTCGACACGTCACTGACTATAAAACCTCTGAATCTACTGGCAGCCTGCCTTCTCCTTTTTTGAAAGCCCTGAAAACACAGAACTTCAAAGACCCTGCATGTTGCTCCCTTCTGGAACAGCCAAACATCGTGCACGACCTTCCTGCAGCAGGTAGGAGGGTGGAGATGCATAACATTCACCTTTATCTCATGTAGAGACCACCTCGAGGTGGTTTGTCAGTGATGACTGGCAGCAGCAGGTTGCTGCCTGCCTTTGGTGACTGCAGTCTGAGTGCAGAACATTTGGGATGAGTTTTCAGATGCTGTGGAGGCAGAGTTAGCACCTAGAACAAACAGCTCAGCTGCTGCATGGCGCAATGGGCTTGTGCTTTGTTACCCTTGAGGCCTGGGGTCAGGACCAGCCAGAGTTGGCAGAGATGAGGCGGTGAGGAGCTGGTGGAAGCGCTTCCCTATTACACAGGAAGCTTGGAGAGCGAAGCCTTCTAGCTACTTCTGTGTCGGTTGCTTTAATGTTTTTAATTAGCACTAATTAATGCTTTAATTACTGGCACTGATTGTATTCCACCATCATGTCAGAAATAGGTTGCCATTTGCTTTTCAGTGATATGTATTTCATAAAGTTATATATAATATATATACAATTGTGTCTTATTTTTCTCATTGCTGAGATAAATACCTGATATCCAAAGTCAAAGGAGGAAAGGTTCATTTAGCTCACAGTTGCAGAGGTTTCAGTCTGTAGTCAGCTGGCTCCAAGGCAGGGTGGTGTGGCAGAGGGACCTCCAAGAAAAGAGCATTTCATGGTGGGTAGGAGGTAACAAAGCAGGCAAGGGACTGTAATACTGTCTTTCTACCCCTGACATCTTGTCCAGGCTATTCAGGGCAGGTAGCACCCACACCTTAATCCTAGTGCCCTTGTTCTTAACACTGCACAGTGAATCAATCCCAGTGTCACACACTCTAGATCCAGCCACCTCTGAAAAACCCCATCTGTGACTGCATAGGGGCACATAGACATAAGCATAATGGATTGTTGTGTGTTCTGTGGATTGCATTAAAGTAAATAGATCTTTACCTTTTATGTAAAGTCTAGTAGATTAACAAGTGATAAATAGCAGCGTGCTTTGTATACTTACATGTACTGTAATTTGTTCATTACAATCAATGAAATTTAATCTTGCAGTTGCTTAAAATTGTCTCAGTATGTTGAGGAATAAAGATATTTGTAGAAGTAAAAGACTGATAAGAAAATAAGTTGGTTTTGAAAGAATTGCTTCAGCATGACATGATTTTCTAAAGCAGTTTTTTTATTATTTAGAATTATTTAACTTAAAAATGATGTCCTAGAGAACTTGAGTGGTTTCTTCCTTGTGTTTTCCTAGTGCTGAGTTACTGTCAGGTGTGGCAGCTCCCTGCGGTCCTGTACCTGTGCTACACTGATGTGATGAAGCTGGACCTCCTGACGGTGGAGGCCTTCAAGCCTGTCCTTGCTTCCAGAAGCCTGAAAGGGCTGGCTAAGGTGAGCTGTGAGCTCGCTGACCAGGGGCTGGCTGTACCCTAGGACGCGCATCCTGCCAGTGCGCAGGCCTGGCCTCAGCAGGCAGACAGCTGCCCAGCTTGGCAGATTGAATCTGAGCGCTATGGTTACGTCCCACCTGTCTGTGTGGACAGATGGTTTCACTGCTCACGGAGTTTCTGTAACTCATTGATTGAGACGGTTGTGATGTTTAAGAAGGCATTTTTGAATGTGATACATGTTAAATTATTTTAACATGTGTTCACCTCATTTTTATAAACTGGCTGTGTGAAGATGAGAAGATTGAATTGCATAATGGACCTCTGCCCTGCCCTGATCTGTGGGCTCTTTCCTTGGAGAAATACTTTTATCAGAACACATCCACATGTGTGTACTCATGTATATATATGACTTTGCCCATAATTTCAGTGGTTTAGGGACTCCCTTCTTTCTCCATGAGATTCTGTAGTTTAAGAGGTACTTTAAAGGAACAGGTACTGAGAATATAATTCTGTGGTAGAGCACTTGCCCACCACGTGATCCCCAGCCGCATGTGTGTACACGTGCCTGCACTCATGGTCATTTGGGTTCAGTTACTATGCGTTGAGTGTCTCTTTCAGGGTCTGTGCTGACTCATTGCCCTGTTTGCTGCTGACAGCCCTGGCAGCTAAGGAATTAGAATCATGTCATTGGGGGTCCAAGCATAGTCCACTCTTAGCACCTGAAGGGGAGATTTACATAGCATCGTAGGGCCAGGGATCTAGCTCACAGCACAGCACCTGCCTGGCATGCACAAGGTTATCAGTTTAATTCCCTGTACAAAAAATAGCATTGTAAATATTGTTGTCACCTGCTTTGAAGGAACAGTTTGTGGGAAAATGAGGTTGTTGCCCTGACGGGCACTGGATTTTTAGTGTCTGAATCGAGCTGGAGTTGGTGCCTGGCTCCCATCATTGTCTAGTTTTTTCATTTGGCATATGGGACAGGTGTGAGCTACCCCAAGCCCCTGACTCCTTGCTTTGTGGTTGTGGTCACTGCCAAGGGGCCTGAGAGCTTTAGGTGACCCACGCTGAGGCTGTTTGGGCCTGGGGCACTGGGCAGGAGGTTTCTTTGGGGAGAGGCTCCTAGCAGGGTGGTAATGCAGCCAGCTTTGAAGGGTGCTGAACCAAAGGCTAGAAGCCAGGAGGGAGCTGTGTGAGTGTGGCTGGGGCCGCTCAGTGCCACTGTCCTGGGGAGCTGAGCACTTGTGCTGTCTCTGATTGATGTCTTGCCAACCTCTTCTCTCCTTCCAGAACATTCCCCAGAGCACAGAGATTCTGAAGAAGCTGATGACAGCAAATGAGATTCAGAGTAACATTTATACGTGAGCCAAGGATTGTCCTCTAATGTCTGCCAGCATCCATTTGCTAAGGGGTGCAGCAAACACTGCTGTGTAGGTTACTTTGGGGGACTCTATATTGAGGGGGATAAAACAGTAAAAAAAACTGTGTCCATTCCTTTGTGGTTGAGACTATTTGCACCTGAAACAAACTAGACGTTTTTCTTTTATCCACTAGGTGGGAGCATTGTTTGATTTGAAAAAAAATTTTAAGTTAATGTTAAATTTATGAAAAGCTGCAGACGTCACCAGGTTGTGTTAATGTGGCAGAATAGGGTGAGTTAGATACCAGAATGTGCCTCGGCCTGGCTCTTGATCTTTCTGGGGTGAGGACTTTGAAGGGTGGTAAGAAGGTGAAGAAATGAAGACAAGATGGTGAAGCCTGGGCTCAGGTGGAGTCCTCTTGGAATGGGAGGAGAGGAACTGCTCTGCCACCAACCACTGCACTTTTATTTATTTATACATTCAGCAGGTTGATGTCACATGACACCCCTCTGCCTAGCAGCTATTCCTTGGATTGCCTAGGGTGCCTAGTAGTCCCTGTGCCAGAGCAGCTTGCTCTTCTGGCTCCCCTCAGGCCTCAGGTGCTCTGTTTTTGGGCTGGCCTTGCCCCAGCCCTGCGCCTGTGGTCCATCTCCAGCTTCTGCTGCTCTCCATAAAACTGCTATGTGATCTCTGGAAGCTTCCAAAAAGTGAAGTTTCTTTATACTTTACAAGATCCACAGTCTTTTGTGGCTAAAGTTTGATGAGAGGTTAACAGAAGGTGCCTTATGCTAATGAGGAAACAAGCTACTTGCATAGCTGGGCATGTGCTGGCGCACCTAAAGCCCCACTACTCCTGATGCTGAGGCAGAAGGGTCCCTGTGGCTCTGAGTCTATGTTGGTCTACACAGTAGTGACAAACCTGTGGCACACATGCCAGAGCAGGCTGTTTGTATCAACAGTGTTGAAAGTATAGTGTGTCCAGAGCCACTGGACTACATTGCCAGACCCTATCTCAAAAAAGGAAGACATTGGTATGACTAGCAGATTGTGTCCTTGCCTGGGCTACTTGTAGGGTTTTGTCACCAAGACCTATCACCAGGACTCACTTAAATGTTGTCACTAGGAATGTGATTTGAGGGGGGACCTAAAGTGCCCACACTACCCCAACACCACACAGTGACCTGCAGTGGGAAATATGAATTTTGTGGAGTTGACAAATGCTTCTCTGCTTCCCCCATTGTTGAATAATTACATCGATTTGACAACTCGCCCTATTTGGTTCATTGTTCTTGGTTCTGGTTGGTGGTGGTTGAACAAACTTGGTTTCTTTGTGTAACCCAATGTTAGAAGCCCCAGGTGTGATGCGTTTGTAAGCATGTCAGATAGAACGGAGTGTTTCATCAAAGGTGCATGGAGTGGCTTGAAAACTGACATCAGGCTGGGCGGGGTTTTGCATTCAGAACCATGAAGAACTGGTAGCTATAGGAAAGAAAACTTGAAATGCAGAGGAAGGAGCATTGCACTGAGAAGTTACCATGAGAAGCAAGTATTTAAAAAAAAGGAACCCTTAATTTTTCCCAAAAATAATTAATGATCATGTAAGAGATAAAGAACTTAGGACCAGAGAGATAGCTCAGCAGCATAAGCACCTATCTACTTGGCAAGTGTAAGGTCCTGAGTTTGATCCCCAATACTACGAAAAGAATGAACTTAGCCCAAAGGAAATTTTAAAAACTGCATAAAATGGCAAGCACAAAGTCCTGAGTTCCATGCCCAGTATAAACAACAACAAAACCAATAAAACAAACTACATGAAAATGAGGGCTTTTGAAGCCAGGAATGGTGGTGCACACCTATAACCCTGGCAGCCATGAAGACTGAGGCAGGAGGCGCAAAGGTTTGAGCCCAGCCTGGGCAATGCTGAGGCCCTATAAAAACAACAAAAAAAGGCTGTGGATATAGCTCACTGCAGAGGCCCTGCATTCAATTTCAGTACAAAAAAAAAAGACATAAGATCCACTTTAGAATGAATAAAGTTGGCACTGTGTAACAGCCAAGAGCAGAGCAAGTGTGAGGCCCCCTGAAGTGTGCATGTGGAGTGTGCAAAGGGAAGCCATCACTTGGGAGACAAGGTGACCCGTGACAAGACAGTCCTGTCAAGACCATTCTCTGGGTGACAAGTGGTAGTGTGAGGGGCTGTGCAGGCACTATGGAGCCCAGACAGCGAGGCTCAGCCCAAGTCCCAGGCCTCAAAAGCAGGAGGTCTGATGTGGGGAGTGCTGGCTCAAGTCTCCGGGTCAGGCTGGAAGAGGCTTCCCTTCAGCAGAGGGACACAGGATGGAGAGATCCACCTTTTTCTGCTTGTTTTTGTTGTTCTAAGGGGCCCACTGAGTGTTGGTAGCCCATCCTAAGGGCATCTTCCCGGACCCCATCCACTGACAGCAGGTTCCTTTTGTACCCTGATTGCCACCCTTTAAGTTGACACCTGAGACTGACATTCATAAGTTTGCCCCTGTCAACTTAGCACCACAGGTGGCTCCAAAAACCATACTTTATCTCTGAAGACTTAACAAGGTGGCAGGCTGTCCTAAGTGTGGCTGTAAACACTAACCCCATGTCTGACCATGTGGTAAAGGCTGGAAATGGTATACACCCATCATCCTAACAAGTGAGACTGAGGCAGGGGGAGCACAGAGTTTGTGGGACCCTACCTCATACAAACAAAACGAGATAAAGTCCTTGGGATAAAGGAGATTGGACATGGCAAAGCTGGCTGGAAAAAATGAGCAGGACTTGTCAATCACAGTATCCCAGGGTATCCATGTTTGGGATCTCATTAAAAAGCTTTTGTGCAGCAAGAGAAGCCACCAACAGAGGGGAGGACAACCCATGGTGTGGCAAAATTTTGCCAGCTGTTCCTCAAGAAACTAATGCCTAGAATATATACAGAATTCAAAACATCAGACCCCCATATTTATTGTGGGGGTACATTTTAGATCTATGTAATGATTACATTCATTGTAGGGAGTGTGGCCCTGCACAAGACATCTTGCTGCTGCTTTTTCTCTATTCCCCTCCCATCCTCAACGCCACTTTTCTCTCCTTTTCTACAAAAGTTTTATTTCCATTTTTCCCTTCTATTTCTCTCTCTCTCTCTCTCTCTCTCTCTCTCTCTCTCTCTCTCTCTCTCTCTCTCTCTCTCCTGTTTTCAGCCTCCAAAGCGCTAGGATTACAGGTGTGTACCACCACGCCCAGTCTCAATCGCAGTCTCAGCGTGTCCGGGGCCGGCACAGCAGGCCTGGGGATTGAACCCCTGACCCCTGCATCTGCCTAAACAGGCACTTTAATCCGCTGAGCTATTTGACTGGCCCTCCTATTTTTTTCTTGTCCCTTCTTGAATCAAACTTTATTTCAGAATGTATTACTAAACATGCATACATGTTTAAACAATAAAATTTACAATTTTATTTATTTTTCTTTTTGCACAGGACATGTTTATAATATAGAGTCTGCACCTTACAAAATACACTTTTCTTTTAGCAAGCCATGGCCAGACTGGGGACAGTTTTATTCCTCTGAGTAAAACTGTACTGTAGCGATCTAGGGGAGATGAAATATGGCCTTTGGAAGCATGGTGGGGAACTGGTTAAAAAGAAAAAAGAGAAAAAGAAAAGAAAGTGCCTACAGAGGAGGAAAACGTGAACTGGATGGACCTGGTCTTGGACCCTTGGATCTTGCCTTGGGATTTTGGCAAATGATCCCTGAGAAGCTCCACCAGTGGTTCTGGACAGGAAGGGGTGACTGGCTCTGACCAACACAGCCACAACTGTAGATTCTGAGCTGCGGTGGGCCATGAACCTGACAATGTGCAATCACTCAGCAGAGCTGGGGCTGATGCCATGAAGTCCCCAGCAATGAGTGCCTCCCAGGCAGGCAGGGGTAGGCCCTGGGGCTGAGACCCCTATGAGGTCTGAGCCACACTGGAAAGTGGCCCATTTCTCTTTTGGGGGTGTCTGTCTTCTCCAAGTGCAGACTGTGGGCTATCTGGGACAGACCACCTGACCTGCAGGGGCTGCCCTTGTTTCCCTTCTCATCTGAACATTTTTATCTGATTTCCCAATATCTAGACCCCTTCCCAAATGACCATCTGAGATGAACTTACACTTCTCAGGTGAGGAAGTACAATCAGCAAGAAAATACACAAAAAAGTGTTCAAACACCGAAATCAGTAACATGCTGGAGGAGCTGTAGGTAAAAAGGAACTCTTCTCCACTCTTGGTGGGTGTGTAGAATGGTGCAACCACTGTGGAAATCTGTGTAGAGATTTTTTAAAACCTACAATTAGAGGTCCCATTAGACGCAACTATTTGACATCTTGGCGTCTTCTCAAAAGAATTAAAAGCATCATACTGCAGTGATAGGTGGGCACCTATGTTTGCAATAGCCGAATATTGGAAGCAGCCCAAGTACCCATCAACTGATAAATGGATAAAGAAAATGTGGCTTTTTCATACAATTGGGTACTGCTCTGCCATAAAGAAGGATAAGCTTGAGCCATTTCTAGCTAAATGGATGTACCTTGAAACCATCCTGTTATGTGAAATAAATCAGACATGCAAATATCACATGATTTCTCTGGTGTGAGAAATCTAAAGTACAAGTAAGGACTGAAATGTATAATGGATGCTAGGAAATGGGAATAAAATGTTCAAATGGTAACAGAAATTAGGGAGGGTGGAGGAGGAAAGGAAAGAAGCAGGAAAAAAAAACAGCTTTTGTAAATGAGAGAAAGGGGTTGAAAGAGGGGAAAGGAATGGGAAAAAAGCAAGATGTATTATGTACAGGTACAAATTCCCTATGATGAATGTTACCATGTATATCTAAAATGTACCAATAAAATAAAAAATTAAAAAACATTAGAAAACCCAAAAACAAGATCCTAGGGAAATTCCAGGAACTTGAATGCAGAATCCATGAGCTCCCACAAGATGTGGGTGGCATAGAAGAAGACCAGATACCTGGGACACCCTGAGTTCCCATCACAGTCTGTGCCACATATTTCCAGGGACATGTGTACCTTGACTTTTGCTTTTACCCTCTTTTTCTTTGTTCGGCACAAGTTTGCTCTGT